ACTCAATTTGCTCACAAAAAATATTAAACTACCAAAAAATTGAATATTTTATTTATATAACAAAACCAAATATTTAATATTTGCAAACTAATTCAAAAGAGAATCACCTCATTAGAATTCTACTAAGGATGAACACCTCCCTAAAATCTCATTAGGGATGAACACCTCATTTGAATAAATCAAAGGATGAAAAAAGGCCTCATTTTCCACCAATACATAAAGGATGAACATCTCCCTAAAATCACACTAGGGATGAAACAAAGATAGTTTTGAGTCTCTTTAGCATACTACTATAAACCCTAAAAGGGAATTAAATAGTAATCACTCAAACCCTAATTTAATATCAAATTTTCCTTAAATTCCTAGGGGATAGAGGTAATAAAATAATAACAGCCACACATGTGGAAACATTCACCAGTTGCCTAAGATCCTCTATGTTGGGAATTGCTCAAACACCACCCCCAATTCCAAACTCATAAAATTAAATAAAAACAAAAGATTCAAAAAAGAATAGAGAACCCAATACAAGAAAGATTGAAATTTGAAACACTATTTCTTTCTCAGTAAAACTTGAAACTTAACCTGAAACAAAAGGGAAAAACAAAGAAGAAGAAGAATTCATAGCTTCCTCCATGGTTCCATCAGCAAGCAGAATCAGATTGGGGATGTTACCCCAAATTTAAATTTTAGGGTTCACGAAAATTAGAGATTATTCTCCACTTAGGGTTCATAAAATTGGGTAATTTGAATTGTTTAAAACAAAATTAATCTAATTTTCATAATTAGGGTTCTATAAATTAAATAAACATGAATCAAATATGTGTTAGAATCGCGCAGCGGAATGTTCGCGTGGTCAGACAAAAACCAAGAGGGGGGGTGAATTGGTTTCTTAACAAAAATTAGGTTTTCAAAATTTTCCCCAAATTTTACCGATTAAAAACTGTGTAAATGTAAATAGAGTAGAGATAGAATCTTACACAGGAGATTTATACTGGTTCGGATCAAAAGACCCTACGTCCAGTTGCTAATCACTCAAACAGAGGATTAACGCTGTCACTATAATCAAAGTTGTTACAAACAAATTACAATGGAAAAGATAAAGTAAAGAAAACACCTCTCTTGAAATTCACAAGAGATGAAGAACAGTTTTCCCTAGAGACGGCACAACACACAATCCACTAAGAACTCCACTTAGTGATTCTTATCGCTTCTAGCCCACACTAGGTTCCAAAAGTCCCTTTTTCTTGCAACAAACAGTTCTCTGGCACTCACAACACTTAACTTTTGTATGAAAAATGTTGTTCTTATTTTCTGAGTGCCATAGAGAAGCTTAAGTAGAGAAATTAAGGTTTGGGAATTGGGATTTTCGGAACTAGAGAGTATTGGGATTAAGGTTTTCGAAACTAGGGTTGATTTGAAGTTGAAAATCAAAATCTGACTGAAATAATCGATTAAATGAAGTGTTAATCGATTATTACAGAGCCAAAATCAACAGAACCCCAAAACTCTCTGTTTTAATCGATTAAAAGACCTGTTAATCGATTAACAGGCCTGTTAATCGATTAACAGGTGTGTTAATCGATTAAACCAGTGAGCACATACAGAAAATGATTTTTCTCACTATTTTAATCGATTATTTCACTATTTAATCGATTAAAGCCGAGCCACTTTGATAAAATTGAGCTTTTGAGGCTTCTAAAGTGCAGACTATGTACCGGCTATCTTAAACTCTAATATTACAGACTCAAACTAATTAAAATAGAGTTATTACACACTAAAACAAGTCTTCAACTCTCTAAGTCTTGTGTTCTTGAATCATCATCAAAATCAACAAGCTTCATGTCCATGTAAGTTCAACATCAAGTCCTTGAATGTTCAACAATATGGGCGGCTCGATACCAATTGTTGGAAAATTAATAATAATAATAATAATAATAATAATAATCCTGATTTTGATTCTAACGATCAAACATAAACATAATCCCATACTGATAAACATGCTGTAAACTGAATGCGAAAGCGTACCTGAATTAGCCATAATGATGATGTCTTTGTAGAGCACTATATTGATCTTATGGTCTTCCACCTGAAGAGCACCTGTATTTTCCTCTTGATTTTCTCTCTTGATGGGGATAGAAAGAAAGGAACGGGACTGATACTTACGTTCTGTGTGTGTGCTCCCAGAAGGGGACCACGACCCCTTAAAATAACCAGAATTAGGTTAACTACTTAAGTTTTAGTATTTCCAATTTGACCCCTCATCAAATTAGAAATTGCTCAATGGTCTCTACACAATTTTATTTTCATGACATATGCCTTTAGCCAACACTTTAATTTAGTCAGATCACTTTATTATTTGGCTTAATAAATAATGACCCTAACACATTTAAATTATGTATCATATATATACATGACCCAAATTTTGCCAACAAAATGTTCATCCTTAGAAAGGTGGACCAATATAGTATATCAGTCGAGTTGTCCTAGTCAACCAATGTTACCATAGGATAATCTTGTTTAGGGCCATGAGAGCTAAAGTCATCATTGATGAAAGTGATTGAAACATTGTTCTTGGCTTAAATGATTGAATCACATTAACATTATTAATTATTCTCACATTCCTTTTTCGAGTTGAACTCATGTTGCCTCCTCCAACGAATTCTCCTGCTATTGTGTTTATTATGTCACTAACATCCTCGGATGGAGCATTCTATGGGCTTAGGAAGACCTTATCCTCAACCTCGGCCACCAAAGTGCGGACGACCTTGTCCTTAGAAACCACGAGAGCTTTTTGATTTGTACCCCTCTTGGTTTTGTATGAACTTGTGATTGGTTTTCTATTATGTGTCTTAGCTTTTTAGAATCTTCAATGCTATGATCGAAATTTTGATGTCATGCACACTGTTTTAACCAGTTTGCATCTGGTGGCTTGATTGATACTCTGACAATTTCACTAACTCTAGATTACATATTTCCTGTAAAATTGTTTTAATACTCGCATTTATGGGGTAAACCTTCTCTCCACACGTTAAAATCCCTTGTCGGGGTTCTATTTGTTAGAATGGTCTTCCTTCTCCTGCAATTTCCTTCTTTTTCTTATTTCAATAATCTTTAACAATTGTATAAACTTGGAAGACCGAGTTCTAGGTAATCTATATATAAGTTATCCAAGAATGAACCTTGCCTAAGCCCAAAAATCAAAGAATGAATGAGTAAATTCGGGAATAGGTTGTGAACATTAAGGCTTACTTGATTAAAACACTTTATAAAGCTTCTTAGGGACTCAATTTTTTCTTGTCTTAACCCTTGGAGGGTGAGAGAAGTTGGTCATGTGGTTGACTTTAAACTTTTGGTGTCAATGTTTCAAAAGATTCTATTAATGTAACTGGTAGATCATAAAACTATTTGAGTGTTGCTCCCTTTAAGGTCATGATTTTTTTTTTGCAAAGGAAGACATCGTTTTCTCCAAATACACTAATTTGGGTTAATTAAGATCGAACATATTTGTCTGAATCAGTTCCTCCTACAAAATTTTTTATTTTGGGTGTCTTCGATAAGTGTCTCCGATAAGTGTCTCCCTTAGGAGGTGGGGACTCATACTATGATCGAGACTAGTTTCTAGATGAGGTACGATACCTCATAAGGGATCTTGTTAACATGCATTCAGTGGCGGATCTTATTGGGAGCTGAGGGGGACCGTGGCCCCCCTAAAGTTTTGTAACTCCCATGTAATTTATGATTTTGACCCCTCCAAACTTAATTAACATTTAATATATTTACTTGTATATTTACAATTTTATCCTTTCAGCCCCTCCTCAGTTTTGTAACTCTCATATAATTTATGATTTTGTCTCTCTCTAACTTAATGATCATTTACTATATTTAAGTATATATTTACAATTTTATCCTTTTACCCTTTCATCTTCTTTCTTCCTTTTATATTTATTTATTATTTATTAATAATATATTATTTGGCCCCCTCAAGATCAATGGTCAAGATCCGCCACTATTGTTATTTTTCAATTTCCTCGTTCTTCGTCTCCTTTACATCTTGACTTCATGTTTTTAGTTAATTTTGTCAATTTTTACTTCATTTCTTTGTTGCATCTCCTTGATATATGCAATTTCAAACTCTTGATAATATCTTTATGACTCATGATGATAATTAGTATACAACTATTGGTCTATGATATGCTTTACCATATCCTACAATTAGCGCCAAATCTTCTTATACAAAAAGTGAATAAAAGAAGTGTAAGTAAATTATTCTTCCAGGGACAATCACGATTTAAGTTGTGAAAGACTTCAACAATCATGATCTAGACTATGGTCTCTTGAGATTCAACTTGGTCAAATTCCGTCAGTAGTGGAATAAGATAGGGATGCCTTGTAATGGTATCAGAAGCTTAAGTAAACAGGAGACTGAGTTATGAACATCAAAATAATAAATCTAAATAAAAAACTTATAAAAGAGAGTTTTCTAATTCTAATTCATATGATTATTACGAGAAATCTAATAGAGAATAATTAAAAACTCATTACACTACTAAAAATTTTCATTTTTCATCAGAAAATTCATGTAAAAATTGCAAGAAATAAGTTTTCTATAAATTTAAACAATTTTTTTCAAGAAAATTGGCAGAAAAAAACTAGTTTTCTAGTATTAAATATCAATCCTTATATTTTTAATGTTTTTAAAAGAATATCTACACATTAAAAATCATTTATCATATACTATTATTGCATTATTAATAAACATTAAGAATTAAAACGGTGGACGAATTAAAAAGTAAATCTCAACATGTTATACATTCATAAAAACGTGAGAAAGAATAAAGTACAATAGTGTATTATTATAAAAAAAATATCTTTATTATAATATTATAAACAAATAAAAATATTGTTTAAATAAAGTTTTAACAATATAAAAAATATAAACACAGGTGTAAATTTCTATGTTTTCACTTATTAACATATGAAAGATCGAACAAGGAAGAAGAATGAACGTTGGTGGAGCACAGTGCAGCGATTGGTTATGGGTTATAGTAAATGAAGAAAACAGAGCAACCGGAAGTGCAAAGAGAGAAATATTTTTTAATGAATGAAGCAAAATGAGGTATTATTAAGATGGGAATGGTACATGCTATTTATAATGGTGGGAAAAGAGGTAGACGCGCGAGAAATATAATTTTCTTAGACACATTTAGTTATTTGTGTTAAGTGAAAAAACAAAACAAAAGTACAGTAACACAAAAATAATGGAAAATAGTAAAAAAGTTAAGACCCCTAAGAGGGGAGTATATGTTGATCATTCCCAGCTTGGAACATCAAAAATTTGAATGTTGCATATGACAAGGTTTTGGTAAGAATATCAACAAGTTGTACAATGGACAGTATGGGAAGAAACTTCACTAATATGGAGTTAATCTTTTCGCGCACAATATGACAATTAATATTTCTTTGTTTTTTGATGAAAAACTTAGTTAGATGCAAGGTGAATGACTAAATGATTTTCACATTATAATAAAGCAAGTTTGGTGTAATTTATCTGTAAATCATTTAAAATATATGCTAATCAATATAATTTATAGACTGTTGATGTTAAAGCATGATACTCAGTTTCTGAGGAACTTCTTGATATAGTTGGTTTTTTTTCTTTTCAAAATAGCGGTGAGTTTCCAAGATAGATGATATAGCATATAATAGATTTTCTTGTATTTACACAACTAGCCCAATTTAAATCACTATAAGCTTTGAGTTGAAGATCATTATTGGCAGACAGAAACGTTCCTTTTCCTGGGGTACCCTTAAGGTAACAAAGAATACTTAAAGCAGCTTGGTGATGGTTTGAAGTGGGAGCAGAACATACTGACTGAGGTGATGGACAACATATGTGATACCAGGAATGGTGTTGGTGAGGTAGATAAGTCTACCTATGAGTCTTCTGAAGGATGTAAAATCTTTTAAAGGTTCTCCATTGTTGAGAGATAGTTTTGCTGCATGATTCATAGGTGTGATGACAGGCACATAGAATTTCATACCAGTATCCTCAAGTAAATCAAGAGTATATTTCTTTTGACTAAGATGAATTTCAGCACTACTCCATTCCACTTCTAGACCTAGAAAATATGTTAGGTTACTAAGGTTTTTAATTTTGAATGTTTTGTAAAGGATATTCGTTAGTCTTTCAATTTCAACAATATCATTTTCGATAAGAATAATGTCATCCATATAAACTAATATTACCGTTTTGTTTGTATTATTGCAGTTTAAGAGTAAAGAATGATCTGCGTTAGAGTGATTGTATCTATGTGCAAGAAGAAAACCCGATAATTTTTCAAACCATTTCCTACTTGATTGTTGAAGTCCATAAAGAGATTTATGTAATTTGCAAACCTGATGAGGAGAAGTACCTATCATGCCAGGAGGAATACACATGTGAACATTTTCACGTAACTCACCATGTAAGGATGCATTATTGACCTAGTTGCTTAAGATGTCATTTGCTTATGGTAGTAATGGATAGTAGTGTTCTAATCGTGCTTAGCTTAGCTATAGGAGAAAAGGTTCCCATGAAGTCAATTCCTTCAAGTTGTGATTAACCTTTGACAACAAGTATTGCCTTGTGATATGAATCACAAGGGGTGATTTAGGATCTTTAATGTTAGAACCTTGTAAGAAATTTAGGAATTTAGTGATAAGATGGAAGGAAATAATCACTCTTTCCAAGGAAGGCAACTCACAAAGGATGTGAAAGTCCTTTGATACAGCTAAGGGTTCTTAAATCACTCAAGAATTTAGGAAAATCACTCTCACTAAGATAAAAGAGATAAACTCTAATAGTTCTGAATAAATTTTCACTTGTTATTTTTGATAAAAGTGGTTCAACCTATATAGAAGCTTTGTCATCAGAATTACAAAGATTTAATAAAGAAAAATAAATGCTAATAATGATTCATTAACCTAGGAATTGAAAACTACTTAATGATTTATTGTAACTGAAATTGTGGCATCCAAAAGTCAATCAGGTATACACCCTCTTGGTCTCCCAAAGACTGATAACTAAATTTTCAATTGGGCCCTTATTACAACTTGCAATAAAACCAAACTAAAGTCCATTAATTGATTAATCCAAAATACAATTTGGTCAACCAACAATACTTGTTGAAGAGCTTCTTTTGTTTCCTTTGCTCTAGCCCTTATCATAGGTCATGTTCACATCATTCTCTCCCTCTTGAAAATGATTTGTCCTCAAATCGGATTCATCATTTATATTAAAAAGGGATAAGTGTGACAAATTAAATGTAGAATAAACATTATACTCACTTTTTATGGATAAATAACTCTCCCTCACTTCAAGTGTTTCACTCTTTTTTTATCACTCTTTTTCTTCTCAAGTGTTTCACTAACGTTTTTTTTTCTGTCTTTTCTTGAAGAAATTTTTCTCTCATTTTCTTTTTATCTTCACACACTTCTTGTGGACTCAAAGGTTTGAGCACAATCTTTTTATCTTGGTGCATGAAAGAGAACTTGTTGGTGAACTCGTCATGATTGACTCTTTTATCAAATTGTCATGGTCTCCCTAAAAGTAAGTGACTGACCTCCATAAGAACAACATCACTAAGTACCTTATCATTGTATTTTTCAATAGAAATATTTACTTCAACTTGCTTCCTCACTTGCACCTCTCCATCCTTACTAAGTCATTGAAGTTTATAAGACCTAGGATGTGGTTTAGTAGGCAAATTTGGCTTTGACACTAATCTAACACTAGCCACATTGGTGTAACTACCTCCATCTATGATCATCATGTACACCTTGTCATTGATTAAACATCTAGTGTAGAAAATGTTTTTTCTTTGGCTTTCTTCCATAGGTTTCAATTGCCCATCAATTAATCACCTATTCATTAATAAATCACCCTTTAGAATCTCCTCCTCCTCTATGTCTTCACTCTCCTCTCCCTCTTCAACCTCAGATTCACTTATATATTCTCCTCCTCTAAGAACCATAAACCTTTTGTTAGTGCACTCATAAGCATAGTATCCTAAACCTTGACATTTGAAACATTTCACATCTCTACTTCTTTTAGAGGGTTGTTCTTCAGACTTTGAATGAGTCTTTGTAGGAATAGGTGTGGAACTACTAGAAGTAACAACCCCATCTTTCTTGCCTTTGTCCTTCCAACTTGAAGATCTAAAGTTGGTAGAACTCTTCTCAGCCACTTCTTTTCTTTTGAGTTGTTGCTCCACTCGAATTGCTTTATGAAGTAATTCCTCCATATCAACAAACTCCTGCAACTCAACAATATCACGTATATCAATATTCAAACCACCAATAAATCGAGTCATAATTATCTCTTCATCTTATTCAATCTTTGCTTGAATCATGAGCATGTCCATTTCCTTGAAATACTCCTCAACCCTCTTGTTACCTTGAGTAAGTTTTTGGAGTTTAAATTTCAAGTCCCTTGAATAACTAGCCGGCACATACCGCTTCCTTATGATCCTTTTCATCTCAGTCCATGTATCAACCATTGACTTTTCATTTCTATCTCTCTCCTTTTGTAGCTTGTTCCACCAAACAAAAGCATAGTCAGAAAATTTCGTAGTTGCAAGTCTCACCTTTTGGGTCTCCTCATAATTGTTGCATGAGAAAACATGCTCTATTTTCATCTTCCACTCCAAGTATGCCTCCGAATCACTTTTTCCTTTGAACGAAGGAATGCTAAGCTTGACTCCTTGAAGCCTACTTGGTCTTGCTACTCCATCACTCCTTCTCCTATTTCTCTTTTCTTCTTCATCTTCGGGATCTCTATTCTCCAACCGGTTCAATCTTTCATGGAGCTTATTGTTATGTCGCATCATTAATCCTTCCAAATGTTGTATCAATGCTCTCATTTGAAATGTACTAATTATTGCTTCTTGATTGTAATTTTCCTCTTCTGTCATCAATTTGATGTTCAAACCCTTAAACTAAGATTCTGATACAAACTGATATGAATCACAAGGGGTGATTTAGGATGTTTAGGGTTAGAACCTTGTAAGAAATTTAGGAATTTAGTAATAAGGTGGAAGGAAAGAATCACTCTTTCCAAGAAAGACAACTCACAAAGGATGTGAAACACTACTAGAAAAATGGTTAATAATGACCAAAATTAGTGATTGAAAAATTCGATTACTAATAGTAACTCCCTTTTCATATTTAGTGATTGATTTAGTGACTAAAATTTCAGTTACAAAACAAATTATCTTTAAATTGGTGACTATTTTTCATTTATATAAATATTTTTTATAAATATTTTAATAATATATTAAATATAAATCTACTTAATAATTAATAATATTATAAAAAAATTTAAAAATAATTTACTAACTTATTAAATAATTTAGTAATATAAATATTTGATTTTATTTTTTAATTTAGCATGTGAATAAAAAAATTAAAATTAATTATTAAATTAGTCATCGAAACGATCACTAGAATCGATCATTGATTCAGATCACTAAATCAATTATTAAATTAATTATTAATTTAGTTTCTTTTATATATATATTATTTATATGTTAATAAAAATATATTTTAATATATTTATAAAAAATTAAAATTATTTTAATTACTAAATTATTATTTTAAATTTATATTAATATCTTGAATAATTTAATTATTGAATATATATTTTAAGTTTATATTAGTTATTTTTATATAAAATGTAAGGATTAATAAACTTTTAAAATTTTAAAATTTAATTAAACATAATAATATAATATACTATTAATCATATTTTAAGTTAAAAATTAATTTTAAGTTTTATTGTATTTATTTGAAAAAATCCGTTAAAAAAATTCAAAATAATTAAAGTAAAAAAGTTCAATTTAATAGTGTTAATGTTATTAGTTATTAGAGAATTAAACTTATAATAATAATTATATAAAATTAGAGAATTGATAAAATTTAAATTATATTTAATTTTTTAATTAAATATAAAAAATTTCAAATAAAAACATAAGATTTAATTATTAAGTTAAAATTCGATAATATTAATAAATTAATATATATATATATATATATATATATATATATTACTTAATTATTTTAATTAAAATTAATTTCATCAAAAAATTAATATTTTTATGAAAAATAATAAAAAAAAGAATTTTTGGCTAGCACAAGAGGTTACCCTAATTCCCATTCACTATTTTCCTTTCTCCCTCATTCTTAATATCTGTCGGCCTCCATTCCCCATTGCCAGCCACCCTTACTAACCAACCACCCAACTACACCAACCGCACCACATTGTCATGCTCTCAACCATTCATCTCACCCTAGCTCACAATCACCACCGCATCATCCACCATTCCTCTTTCCCCTATCCTTCCTCCTCCGCGCCCTAAATAACCAACACCCACCCCACTTCTAATTAACCCATTCTCCCCTGAGATCCGGTCACCACCACACCCACAAGCACTACCGCAGCGAACCTCCACTCTCTCTCCCACCACGATGCACTATTTCCAGCCTCACCCCCTCTCCTTCTCACACTCTAATCCCTAGCCACCATAGAGACTCCAATCGCACCGCCTCTACAGCCGCAAACCACCGTCTCACCTCATCCATTCTTGCCCATTTTCCTCCGATTCAATAGCCCAAGCCTCCCAGCTCGTGCCTCCAGCGGATTCGCCTTCGCTCGCTGCGCCCAAATCGCCACCGCGTGTCATTCTCGCCAGCCACCGCACCAACCCTAACCAGCGCCGCCAGCAGCCATCGCGACGCCCTTAGCGGCTACCGCGAATCCAAATTTCATGCATGACGTTGCAAGGAACAACTCTGATATGTATGTTCAAATTGCAATCAATCTCTGTTTCATTTTTCTTTTTTGACCTTTATCACCAGTTATGTCTAATAATGCTATTAGAAGAAGTATACGGATGCATTAGTGTATGTATTAGGGCTTTATGAGAGATATCTAATATTTAGGATTTTTCTATTTAGGTGCTGAGGTTAAGGTTGGAGAGTCTGTTAAGGTAGACCCAGCTGAATTTGAGGCATGCATACACCTTTCTCAAGTTAGGGTTTTCATGGATGCTATGTTTTGTTGTACTTTTATGTATGTGTAGACAAAAATTTCTGAATTGTTGTTGTGTAGGCTGCTCTTGGTGAGGCAAAGAAAGACAAAACAAATGAACCTGTGGTTGTATACTTGAAAGTTGGTGAACAGAAATTTGTCTTGGGAACCCTCTCCAAGGATAAAATCCCTCAAATATCTCTGGAATTGGTCCTAGAAAAGGAGTTCGATCTTTCCCACAGTTCAAAAAATGTCAGCGTTCATTTTTGTGGATACAAGGCATATTACTCTGGCAATGAATATCCTGGGAACTATTAATCTGTTTTGAACTTTTTAATTTGTTATTTTTAAATTAATATATTAATGTTCATAGTTTATGTGGAGGAGTTGTTTTATCCAAACGATGAGGATATTCCATTGTTGTTAGTTGTATGAGAATTATAATATTATTTGGTAGTTTTGGAGTGAGGCTTTTTCAAAGCGGATTGCCACCACAATTGTTGTTGCAATCTTATTTGTTTTACCATTATTATAATGGTATAATAGCCATAACTGCAATTACATTGAGCGCATTTATCTATAATTTTCCCCAATATGATAGATTGCAAGGAATGCCATGAACTGTTTCTTTTGCTTTGGTTTAAGTTGTGCTTGTTTGTTTTGCAGCTCAAAGTGGACAAGCTTAAGTTAATTGATTTCTATGGTGTACATCTGAATCTGAGTTTTCTAGTGTAAGTGGTTGTATGTTTAGTGAATGTTGAATTTGTGATGATTTTATTGAATTCTTTATTGTTAGAGTTGTTATTGATTTTAAATGGGTTGTGAATGGCCTGCTGTAGGTTTCTACTACTATGAAGATTTGTGTCATGACGTATTTGGGGTTGCAAAGGAAAAGAAGGATGCTAGGGAAGTGCAATCAAATCGAGGTATAACCTTTTCCCTATTAGGTTGTTGATCATGATCCATTTCTTAATGTGAACAATTCTGCCCATTATTTTAAGATGCACTTTGCATTAAGCGTTTTTTCCCCCGTTTTGTGAAGATTTACATGATGCCTTGCCAAATTAGAGGAAAGCTGAGGAAGGAGTTTATTTGTAATTGGACAGATAGCGATGAGGATATTCCATTGGCTAACACAGAGAGAATGATACCTGTTTCTTCTTGATACTAATTTATTATTGGCTGGGTATGCCATGGTAACTACATGAATCTGAAGATGGAACAGAAGTTGGCTTCACAAGAAGATGGATTATCTCTGATATGTTTATCTTCATTCTTTTAAAATATAAATTGAATATTTGTTGTATTCATTTAATTTTATTTTAATATATTTTTTATGTTTATTTTGAATTTTTAATATATAAAAGTCTAGTTATCATGTGAAGAATTGTCGAATTTTAATAATATTTAAATTAATTTTGGTGTGATCTACATATATATATATATATATATATATATATATATATATATATATATAATAAGAGGATTATTAAAAAAAGAAAAAATTTAGTGAATTGATATTTTATTTTAAAATTAATTATTAATTTGGTCACTAATTCGGTCATTGATTTGATTATTGAATCGGTCACTGATTCGGTCACTGATTCGATCACTGAATCGGTCACTAAAATCAGCGATCAAGGAAATAGTGACTGATTTGAGTTGGTCACTATTTTAATTAGTGATCGATTTTGGTCATTTAGTAACCAAATTTTTGGTCACTATTTAGTATTTTTCTTGTAGTGAAAGTCCTTTGATATAGCCATGGGTTCTTGAATCACTCAAGAATTTAGGAGAATCACTCTTACTAAGATAAAAGAGATAAATTCTAATAGTTCTGAATAAAATTTTACTTGTTATTTTTGATAAAAATGATTCAACCTATATAGAAACTTTGCCATCAGAATTACAAAGATTTAATAAAGGAAAATAAATGCTAATAATGATTCATTAACCTAGGAATTGAAAACTACTTAATGATTTATTGTAACTGAAATTGTGGCATCCAAAAGTCAATCAACTATACACCCTTTTGGTCTCCCAAATATTGATAACTAAATTTCTAATTGGACCCTTATTACAACTTGCAATAAAATCAAACTAAAGTCTATTTATTGATTAATCCAAAACACAATTTGGTCAACCAACAATATTTATTGAAGAGCTTCCTTTGTTTCCCTTACTCTAACCTTTATCATATGTCATGTTCACATCACCTTGTATTTGTCTATTATTCCATCAACTTTTCGTTTGACTTTATATACCTACTTACAACCTATAGCATTTTTGTTTTCAGGTAAAACAGTGATGGTCCAAGTGTTGTTGTTTTCAAGAGCTGATATTTCTTCACTCATTGCCTTTCTCCAACAAGCGTATTTGCATGCTTCTTCATAGGTTCTAGGTTCTTTATCACTATCAATTCCTAAAATAACATGTTTTAAGGAAGGTAATAGTTTGTTATACATCATGTAATTTTCAATGGGATACCTAATATTACAAGGTCTTTTTGCTTTAGTGGAATTTATATTGACATGATAATCTTGTAAATACGTGGGTGTTTATCTCGTAGGAGTAGTTCTTCCCAAAGTTGTGTTGGAAGTGATATTGTTGTCATTGGTTTGCTCAAGAATAATAGGAGGTTTAGGTTCATTAGCAGAGTTGTGAAAAATTTCAGGTTCACTATTAATGGATATAGTATCAAAGCTAGAGTGAATAGGCAACGAGGGCTATGCCATTTTAGTGCAGTCATTCTGATGATTAATATAAGGAAAACATTTTTCAAAGAAAATAACATTTTTGGACACATTCACAGTATGTGTAATAAGGTCAAATACTAAGTATCCTTTAATGTTATTTTCAAAACCAAGAAAAACGTTGGGATTGACTCTAAGATCAAACTTATCCCTATGAGCAGTAATGGTGCTAATATAACAGAGACATCCAAAGATTCTAAGATTGCTGATATCACACGATTTATCATACAATTTTTCAAAAGGATAGCATTGTTCAGGAAAGGAGTTGGAGTACATTTTATCAAATACAAACATGTAAAACAACATATCCCCAAAACTAACGAGAAACCTTAGATTGAAATAATAATGCACAAGTGGTATTCATAATGGGTTGATGTTTTCTCTCAATAATTTTATTTTGCTCAGGAGTTTCAACACAAGTTTTTTAATGGATGATTTCCTTAATATTGAAGTAACTTTTCATATCAAATTCTACCCCATTGTCAGATCTAATGCATTTAATGATTTTATGAGATTGGTTCTCGACATAAGCAACAAAATTCACTAGAAGATTACGAGTTTCAAATTTTAGCTTCATGAGAAAAACCCAAGTAAATCTACAGTGATCATCAATTATAGTAAGAAAATATCTATGCCCATGTAATGAATATTTGGACAAGGACCCCATATATCAACGTGAATAAGATAAAATGATTTTCTGCATGAGATTGACTGATGGGAAAAGACAATTTCTTTTGTTTAGCAATTGGACATGCATCACAAACAAGTTTTTTTTTTATCACTACATATGTATGGGAATTTTGTTTCATTATATCAAGTCTTTAAGATGGATGACCTAACCTAGCATGCCAGAGATTAATACTTTGATCAACATATTCAATTCAGACAAAAGCATTCATATGACTTCATTCACCAACATTGGATTGAAGAATGTATGATCCATCTTTGACTTCAACTATATCAATCTCTCTTTGATCTTGTTGTCATGTATGATACAGTAAGTTGAACAAAAAACTAGGTTACAGTTGTTATTGGATGTAAGCTTAGATGCAAAAAATTATGTTTTATGCAAATCTAGAAATGTGTAAAACATAAGTGAGAAACAATTCATTGCTAATTTTCACAACACCCTTTGTGAGTGGCAAGAATATGATTACCATTGGGCAAATTCACTCGAATAGGAGTGAATAGGTTCATAAAAGATAAAATTTGAGAGAGTAGAAGCAACATGGTCAGCAACACTAGAATCTATGATCTAGAATTTTTATTTTGAGTTTGAGATCTAATTATACTAGTAATTATATTGAAATTACCTCCATCCTTACCGAAGAGAGATGTGTTTTACGTGACTATAGAATTCATATTGGAAGAATGATTAATCTGAGTTGAAGAAGGATCACTAATACTACCAGATTTCTGAATCAACATCATAAGCGCCTGATATTATTCCTAGGATAGTCTAACGTCATGCTTCTCAATAGACTCTTCTTGATTATTTGACTTTTATTTTTGTGAATCAATATTGTTGACCATATTTCTTTCACTGTGTAACTGGTGCCCAGGAGGAAAACCATGCTTCTTATAGCATGTATCAATGGTATAATTGTTTTTGCCACAGTGGATGCAAGTTTTCTTGTTCCTTCCATTCTTATTATCATGGTTTTTAGGAAAGTCATGTTTTCTATAGCATACTACATCAGTGTGACCAATGCTTCCGCAGTATTTACATGAAATCATATTAACAACATTGATTTTAAGAAAGATTTGACACGATGTGTTATTATGAAGAAGTTATCTTTCCTGTTGTGCAACATATGAAAATATCTTTGATAAGGGAGGTATGGGATTCATAAGAAGAACATGAGACTTCACGTTAGTATATTGTTCATTCAAGCCTCTGAAAATCTGCATGGTATGGTCTTCTCTCTTGCGTTGGGATATGATAGAAAAGATCATGCAAGAACATTTTGTTGAATAGGTGCATATAGGGTTAGGTGTGAAGTTTTCAATTTTATCCCATATAACTCTCAGTTTCGTAAAATTTTCAGTCACAGATAGGTCTCCTTATGCACTCATTTGAAGTTTAGAAACACGTAGCATATTACCTTAGAAATATCTTGCTTTATGATCATTTCATATTTGTTCAGCCTTTTTCATCCATAATATGCTTTGGCAAATAGGAATGAAAACAAAATGTACAATCCAATAATCAACTATGTTATTACAACGTTTCCACGCAAGATGGGTAGGACCATTCTTGGTAAGTTCAGAGGCAATTTCATCAACAAATTCAACTTTGTTATTAGCAATGAGGGTAGTGAGCATAGATCAACTCCAAGAATGGTAGTTATTGGTATTAAGAATGGGAGAAACCAAACTGATGGCAACGTTCTCACTGGGATAGATGTATAAGAAGTTGTTCAAAGGAAGATAATGATGAATTCCTCTATCCATGATTCTGCAAAAAATAAAAAAAAATATTATAGCTCAGAATGCACAATAAAGCTCTTCAAAGAAGAGTTTTGACACCATAAGAGACAAAAATTCGAACAGGACGAAAAATGAACGTTGGTAGGACATAGGTGCACTAATTGGTTATGCGTAATAGTAAACGAAGAAAAACAGAACATCCCAAAATGAGATATATTATTAAGAAGGAAATGATACACTGTATTTATAACGGTGAAAAAAAAAGGTAGACGCGCGAGAAAAAGAATTTACTTAGACGCTCTAGTTATTTGCGCTGAACAAACAAAATAGAACTACGGTAATGGAAAATAGTAAAAAAGTTCGGACCTATTAACATTAAATTATTTTGTTTACACATCTTCCGAGTTATTGAAATTCAGAATGAATGAATTCCTTTTCCAAAACTTCAAATTTGATTCTCTATACACTAAGTCGTGATAATATATTAAGTGAAAACATAGCATTGGTAGTTGGAATAGAAAATTTTCATAAATGAGTTTGATTCTTAGTCATACAAATAATATATTTATTGATTGCTAGAAGAAGATCCATCCATCACAATTATTACAATCATTTATACTACAGATAATCCCTGCACATAGTTGACTCGGTAAATAATAGGGATTGAAGTCAACTTGAAGGTGCATCAGAAGATGGGTAGTGACAATACTTGATAGCATGCTTTCACATTGTGATTTAGAAAGTTTCAAATGATAGATCAGTTGTTGAGGAACATTGCAGTGTATAAAACTTAAAAACACCAAAGAAAAACTAAGCAGGGAATTCCCATTGACAAGGCAAAAGGAGGAAAGAGGATTAACATGAGTGTCTCAAACGCCTTTTCTATCCCTCCCAGACCACCCAGAAGGGCAAACATAGGTTTCGAAACCATTGTTAATAGAAAACTGGAGCGTAATGAACTGAGGAAAAGGCCGGAGAAGAAGCAAAGTGTTGGCGGTTCAGTAAAACTCCTCATCCAATCAATCTCTAGCAGTTGTTTGGTTATGGAGGATGATCATCCGAATTCTTCATGGCTGCAAGGTCCGAATTTGCAGCAAGATTTTTCCTCCCAAGGCCGGCGTTGGTTTCGATACAATTGTTAATGAAAAACTGCAACGCTCTACTAGAAGGGATGGTAAACTCGGAAAGCAAAGGTAGTTTTCACCTTCTAAGAGACCACTTGCTCAAACTTCTCTGATTGTTATTAGCCAAATTTACTAGGTAATTCAAGTTGAAAGGGCATGTTCTGATTTGATTCTACTTTGTTTAATTTGTTTTCACCCCATTATTATGATTATAATTGATAAGTTCATACAAGTCAGAAATTAATTTGGAAAAACAATTTCATTTTGCAGGATAATTTGAATTTTAGAGGAAGATGATATGCAGAATGGAGGAAGAAAATTCTATGGAAAATAACATGTATTGAACTTGAATTTCTTGTTATTTTGTTTAACTCCTTAAATATTTTGTTAGAATAAAATAATTTATATTTATTAAATTTGAATTTTTCTTATAGAATATTTCAGTTTTTATGCGATTTAAAATTTTTTATTAGTTGATGGTGAATTTTAATTGACGTTGATCAATGTTATTTTTCTTTTTAGAAGTCTAAACCCTAAACATAAGAAGAAAAAAAAAACAATTTCAGTTAGGTTAATTCAAAGTTTTAAAGTTGTTGACAAAAAATATCATTGATATTGATAAAAGAATTATGATTAATGTGGACCAAGAAATAACACTGTTATACATAAACAAACTAATAACACTAATTATGTTAATGAAAAAATCACTATGATTACTTCATTCTAAAAAAAACGACATTAGTTCAAAAAATATTTCGACTTGAGTTGAGCACTATCATCTGGCGATAGTCAAATAATGTCTAACTGATGAATGATCAAATTTAAGAGGTAAGAGAAGAGATATAAATGCGAGAGTAGAGAAAAAAATTTAAATTCTTATCTTTGTTTTCAAATATTATTTAAAATTTTAAATAATCTAATAACTTTGGTTAAAATTTAACAATTACAATTTCTTTAAAAAATTTCTATCTTAGTGTTTATTGTAAAAAATATTCTATTCAAATCACTTATGAATTCTTTTTATTTTGATTAATAAATAATAACTTTTTAATTAAAACAATATTTTAAGTAAACCTAGAAATATAATAATATAAGTCAGATCGTATTCAATAATTAATAAAAAAATATTTTTTATTGTGAATCTTTCACTTATTAAGTTAACATAGATATTTATAATATTATTTTGATTTTGAACTTAATAATTAATTATAAATGTACACATTGTTTAATTAGTCTATAGAAATTTACTGAATTAAAAAAGATTTGTGGAAATAAAAGATTTAAAATTATTTGAAAAAGAATTTGTAAGAAATATAAATTACTAAAAAAAGTATATTACTAAAAACATAAACGATTGGATTTAAATGTAAATTAACAAGTATAAAAAAATAAATTAGTAGAATAAATGAATAAAAGTGGTTAAATTACAAGAAATTCGATTGAAAAATTTTCCTTTTGTTTGCAATATTTTTTAAAATACAAATTTTTAAATACATTTTTGTTACCCTTTATATTTATTTACTCTTATTTATATCTATTACCTTTTCAACTCTTAAATAAAATAAAATAATTTTTAAATTAACTGTTTTTCTTCTTTACGTTGATTAACTAGTATATATAATATTTTTAACCACTATAGTGAAACATTTAAAAATTATGACTATCGTGTATTGCTCTCAAGTTATAATATACTACTTCATTCTTGACTTCTTCAATATGATACTTGAGCCCTTCAATATGAGTCCTCCATCTTCCCTACTCTTAATATTCTATCTTTCAATTTTCTCAAACCTTTAATATTTAATCTTTTCAATCTTCTTCTATCATTTATATGATCTTTCAATTTACTCTATTTTCTTTCAGCTTCTATGTTCTCTAAATCTTTCTTTCTATACATTTATATATAAAGTTGATATATAACACTTGGTGAATTTGGCTCTGAAAAAAAAAATTGAAGATCTGCTCAATGATTCTTATTTGCTGAGCAAATATCTAAATTCTGTGTTTCCCTGCTCTGTTTTATTGGAGGTATAAACGGAAAGAAACTTCGGAGGGGAAGGTTCTTCACCGCAAAGGAGACTAAGAAAACAAAGAGAAAAGGCTAGAAACTCCATTGAAGGCTGGAAACCAAGCTTTCGAAGTTCTTCCCTCATCCAGCGAGCGTTCTTTTGTAATTGGTCGGTTATTTTAACATGAGTTGCTGAGTTTCTCATTGTTGAGATCATAGGTAATCAAACGTGGCTTATGTATTGTTCTTGATATGTAAAGTTAGTGGATGAATGCGGAGAGATGGAAAAATGAATTCATTTCTAATTCTTGATTTGTTTTCACGAGGCAACAAACAAGTAATGATCAGCTTTTTTATACTCCTTTTGCCTGTTCTCAAATGGCATAATCGCCTGTCCTTTTTCTCTTGTCCAATATATTTGTGGGGAAATGATCACTATGACACTAATTCATACACAAACATTACATACAAACATCAGATTCTTAAACGTAGATATAAACCCAGATAGTTGTAAAACTCTAATCTTTCAGTAGCAGAACTCACATTTTTCAACGAACTTAGATAAAAACGCGGTAAAAAGTATTGCAAGATAAAACAAGTCCTAACTCAGAGGAACCAAAAACTTGACAAAATCAAACTTTAACAAAAATATAAATCCTAACATTGATTTTTTACTTCAATTGTTGGAATTGGAAACGGAGTTACTTACTGCTCTTTACTGCATAATATGTCTGTGCGATAGTGAGGCCTAGTAGCGCAATAGCTGCCAACACTCCTATGAGTTTCCAAATCGTAGGTATGTGTTCTTTTCTCAAAATGGTGTACCAGTTTTTCCAGTAGTAAACAACAATCTCGAAGATGTGTCTGCAGTTATGCCAAGTGACTATAGGCCATTTTCGTAACGATCTCGTTCCCGTGTCTGAGTTCAACTTGGCACAATCGTCACTATAACTCCAATCCATATTATCAACTCCCTCACAGAGAGTCTGAAACAGCTTCAGCAAATCTTCATGGCCTATCCCTGATTCGTTCACTAAAACTCCAACACGCTCAAGCAGTTCGATGTCATGCGCACAACATATCAAGCCTTGGAAGAACAAAGCATAAGAAGTCAATTTGCAACTGGTCACAATTCTGCTCTGCTCCCACGCAATAAAGTTCCTCCATGTGACTTCCGTTGACTTCTTAATACGCAGCTGAGGAATCTCCAACACCCCACCATTGAATTTGATCTCTAAGTTGAACATATCACCGAACTGGTTCATATTGCTTCTGCCTCCAGGTCTTATTGTTACTCCACAAGCTCGAAGCCTTGTAGCACAGCGCTCTAACTCTTGATGCGCTGGCTTAGTCTTTTTTCTATCCTCCTGGTTCACATTGGACAAATAAACAAGGTGAAGGAGGTGAGCGGCACCAGAGGTAGGAACAACCGATGTGTAGCCTAGAGCTTCCATTACAAGAGTAGCAACACGGTGATCCTGCTCAACGGGAACAGGAACCGGGAAAAGTTTTCTGTACAACTTCTTGAGAACAATGAAGGGTATTTGGTTCTCAAGCAGAAACAAGTCACTCAACACAGACAAGACTTTGTTTGGACTTTGGAAAATAGGGTCGTCATCATAATCACCACTGTCACCAGCTTTCAATGCCTTATACTCTTGAAGCCTGCGAAGAAACTCTAACAAGAAACAACCATCCAGAAGCATAAGTTTTGCTAGGTCGTGGGGTTCAGATTGAATGTTCCCCCCATAGCTGGCACGAACTAAGTATTCTATGTCCAGAATGGTGTCGCCGCATATTTTCACCTTGCTTGGCCCGTCTTCAATTTCCCCTTCCTCGTTTTCTTCTTCCGCTTGGCTCAGAGATCGTCGTAGAAGAGACAACATGTAGTTCCATTTGTGTGGTTCCATCATCAACAAGATATCGTTTCCGGATCCCCTGTGGTAGGGTCCGATAGAGACAACCTGGGGCATGTATGCGTCCTTGTTTGGCTTGCGAAGCTTGTCTGGAACCTTGGAGATGCTGCACGCCTCAACTTCTCCGTGTCCTATAGTACCCAGCAACACTTGAATAGGAAACATCCAACTGGTGGTGGCGTCAACATTGTTTTCGTGTATGGAATCCATCTCAGGGATTTGGCGAACAAAGAATTCCGAGAACAGATATATGCTTTATACACTCAAGTGGACACTATCCAAATATGTGTTATGGGTGGTGGTGGTGGAAGGAACGGCTATGTTTTCTTTCTGGTGAGTGATTCGAACACCTGAAACAGAAGTAAAGGCAAATGGAGAGAAAGACGAAGAGAATTTGGGTACGATAGAATCAAAATGTTTCTGTTTTTTAGTTCTCATTATTTTTTTCACTGGTTAGTTTATTTGATTTTTAATAATGTCAGGTTTTCTAAAATGAATGTGTTTCTATTTAGCTAGCGATCACATGGAGGGTTGGTGTTCTGTAATAAAATTGGCATCATTTGGTCAACGCGAAGCTGGAATCGAAGGATCAGATGGGTCAACTATTGGTGTGATATCTTACTATGTAATGTGCATAAGATTTATTTAATACAGAATTGGTGTTGATTGATCTAATAAAGAATTACATGTTGATCAAAATTTGATATAAGAATTAAAAAAATTATAAAATTATATATCTTTCTAGACCTTTAACTTTTTTTCTCATAATTATTTTCATTTGAATACGTTTTTCTTCTCCATGAACTTTACTCTCCCTTCATGCAATTTTTTTTTTTATGTTTTAATCTCAACCAAATCATTTAACGATATCAGTCAATTTAGTATTAGTAAAATGAAATTACCAATAATTAATAAATTATTTAAAGAAAATAATTTATGGATATTTATTTAAGAAAAATAATTGAAGAGCTATCAATATTTATTTTAAAATAATATAAAAAATCATATGAAAATAAAATTGTTTGCAAAACCAAATTAAAATTATTATATAATATATATTTAATATATTTATTTTAAAATTATATAACATATATTTACATGTAATAGAAAATCAAAATGGTATAAATTTTTATAAAAAATATTTATGAAGAATAAATTTTAATATATTTAATTATTTTTCTTAAAATCAAAGTTATAATTATTTAAAAGTTTCAAGTTTTAAATCTATTCATCATTTTCTATTCTAAATATTTAAGATAAATATTTTGAAATAATCAAATAAAAAAATACATTTTGAAAATTTTTGTAAATTTTATAATAACTAACTAAAAAATATGTCTAGAATTATTTTAATTACTTTTTCTTATAATAACTAAATTAGAAATACATTCAAAATAAAATAATAATTATTATTTTTTATAAATTTAAATATATATTAAAAGTAATTATTACCAAAATATTTTTTATACTGTTGTTTTCCTTTTTTTTTAAGTTTTAACAATTTGTATCATCACTTTTATAAAAATTATATTTATTCATCCTTTAAATTCACATATTTTATAATAATTAAATAAAAAATATATCTAAAGCAATCATTAGAATTTTGTAATATTTTCTAAAAACTAAATTAAAACTAAATCCAAAATGTCTTATTATTGTTAATAAAAAAAATGTCCTATTAGTAATTTATCTATTGCATATAACAAGCAAAGGTTTTATTTAATGTCTCACTATCATTTATTTTAACATGATGTTTAATTCTTAAGTGAATCTATCCTCCATCAATAATACTACAACAACCTACCCTTCATCAATAATACTACAACAACCTTGTGAAGATGGAAGAGGTAAAATAATAAGAGTGGGGTAGATGTTAGAGTAAAGGTACATTAAATCCTACACATTGTTGACTTCGTAAATTAAGCATTGAATTCAAATTGATGGTGCATCACCAATGTGAGGTTTAATTCTTAAGTGAATCTACCCTCCATCAATAATACTACAACAACCTCGTGAAGATGGAAGAGGTAAAATAATAAGAGTGGGGTAGATGTTAGCGTAAAGGTCCTACACATTGTTGACTTCGTAAATTAAGTATTAAATTCAAATTGATGGTGCATCAGCAATGTGAGGTTTAATTCTTAAGTGAATCTACCCTCCATCAATAATACTACAACAACTTACCCTCCAACAATAATACTACAACAACCTACCCTCCATCAATAAATACTACAACAACCTCGTGAAGATGGAAGAGGTAAAATAATAAGAGTGGGGTAGATGTTAGCGTAAAGGTACATTAAATCCTGCACATTGTTGACTTCGTAAATTAAGCATTGAATTCAAATTGATGGTGCATCATCATTATTGAGAATTTACAGGTTTTGTGTATATGTATTTTTGATATATCACGTGCGTATATTTTTATTCATGTACTCTATATATATATAAAGTAAAAATATTACAAAATATTAAATATCAATAATATCTCAATCATAACTTGTCTAAATCAAAATAATAACCTAATATCTTTTTACCTTTTCTTTTAAAAGATAATAAAATCTCTTAATACCTAATTTAAATAAAAGATAATAAAGTAATATTTTTAACATTCCTCTTTACTTTAATATCTATTTATTTGAATTTGATATATTTTTTTCTTTTGCTTATAATTTTTCCTCCATTTTGTTTATGCTTCTTGCCATCTTCTTTGTACGAGATCACATCTTCATTCAACTTCACTTTCTTCATCAACATATTTCTTCCTTTGTCAACTTCATCTCCTTTGTTTCTTTCAAACTTCATGGTAATATTGTTGACTCTTTGATGAAAGTTTGAAACGGTTTCTTCATCTACATCTTTATTTTCCTTCTTAATATCAAGTTCCTTCAATAAATCTTCTTTATGCTTTTTCTTTGAATTTTCTTTTATATCTTCGTTTGTAATCATCTATTCTTTCATCAAATCTAAAGTGAAACATTTTCCTTTCATGTAAACTTTGAATATTTCCAAGTTATTTGTATCTTTAATCACACAAAGTTTGTGTTCAAAAGACACCTTATAACTTTTCTCCATTAATTGAGTAACACTTAACAAATTATGATTTATACCAGGAACATATAAAACATCAAAAATCAATTTGACACCCGAATGACTTTTAACTGCAATTGTTCCCGTACCTTTCACATCCATTTCTTCTCCATTACCAATTCTCACTTTAGAAATATGTGATTCGTTGAGCTTTTTGAAAAGTTTTCGATCATGAGTCATGTGGTTTGTACAACCACTGTCTATAAGCCAACCTGTGGATTTGTTGATTGTAGAACATGTTGATGCAAGGAGAAGTACCTCTTCTATTCTATCCTCTATAACTTGAACGACTTCCTCTGGTTGTGATTCACATATCTTTTCTATATGTCCCAATTGACCACATTTGTGACATTTCACATCAGGTCTCCACTAACACTTGTTGGGTGTTTAATTATTTTTCTTGCAATAAGGACAAAAAGAAAAAACTCGTGATTTTGTACATTTGTTGTTCTTGGCTTGGAGAGAACCTCCATCATGATATAGTAAAGAACATTCACCAGCAGCATGATCTCCTCTCATCAATCTCCGTTGCTCTTGTGCTTATAAAGCATGTAACACTTCTGCTAAAGTAATATTAGACAAATCTTTTGTGTTTTCCAATGAAGCAATAGATGCTTCATATCTCTCTGGCACAGTTACCAGAATTTTCTCAACTATTCTGGAATCAGAAAATTCTTTGCCTAACAATTTTATTTTGTTAGCAATACTCAACAATTTGTTTGAGTATTCATTAATTGTTTGAGACTCTTGCATCTTTTGTATCTCAAATTCACTAATCAAGTTTAAAATTTTCATATCTCGAATTTTCTCACCCCCTTCGTATTGATCTTTCAAATAATCCCAAATTTCTTTGGGTGACTTTAGCGTCATGATTCTGGTGAGGATCATTTGTGAAATACTAGCAAACAAACATGATTTAACTTTTGTCTTCCTCGTTTTTCTTTCTCTGTGAAATTTCATTTCAGCTATGATGGGATTTTCAGGTAGTGAATCAACAATATAATTTTCTTCTACAACTTCCTATACATTCAATCCTTCAAGATAGGATTGTATTCTTACAGCCCATAAGTCATAACTTTCGTCATCAAAAACTGAAATAACGACTTGTAAAAAATTTCTTTCTCTGAAATAGTGACTTGTAAAAAATTTCTTTCTCCTTCCATTATGTCGAACCAAAACTCAGATACCAATTTGTTGAGAATTTTTAGGGTTTTGTGAATATGTATTTCTGATATATCATGTGGGTATATTTTTATTCATGTACTCTATGTATATATAGAGTAAAAATATTACAAAATATCAAATATTAATAATATCTCAATCATAACTGTCTAAATCAAAATAATAACCTAATATCTTTTTACTTCTCTTTTAAAAAATAATAAAATCTCTTAATATCTAATTTAAATAAAAGATAATAAAATAATATTTTCAACAAGAATACAATATTTAATAACTAGTTTTCGCATTGCCAATTGAAAAATATCAAATGATGGATGAATTATTCAACCTACAATATTGCTATAAGATGCAGATACTCCAAATGAAACTAATTAGGGAATTGCAATGGCAAAGGGAAAAGGAGGAAAGAGCCTCGGTTTCCGCGCCATCGTTAATAAGGAACTGGTTAGCCGCTGCAGCGATGGTGCAAGAGTGGTAAGCAGCGACGGTGCAAGAGTGGTAAGCAGCGATGGTGCAAGAGTGGTAAGAGGAAAAAAGAAGAAGCAAGGTGGTGATTCACCATCAGCGCTCATCCAATCAATCTCACTAGCAGTGTTTTGGATATGGAAGATGATCATGCTGCTTCTTCATGGCTCCAAGGCCCAGGAAAAAAATTCGAAATCCAAGAGGGGTAAATCTAGAAAGAAGAGTAGGTAGATTTCATCCTTGCAAATGTTAGCAACACATTCTTGCCAATGATTTCTTGTTTGTTCGTTGAGTTTTTATAAAATCACATGCAATTGTCAGTTTTATATTTTATCTATGATTCCCTCTTGTAATTTCAAATAATTACAATTATTCATGTTAGGAAGATGGTTGAAGATTGTGTTGTTAGAACTTTCATGGATCTATTTGAAAGAGCATAAAATAAGATGTTCAACCTTAATTTTACTCAAGTCTTAATCTTTAGTCCATAATAACAGTCTTCAAGGGGTGCTTGATGATAATCAAACATGATAAGTTGTGAGTCCAGTTTTAAGTATAGAATCTGTTTAAATAAATTTTTGTTTCAAATTGCTAAGTTGACTTTAGGTGTCATTTTGTTGATGACTTTCTTTTATCCAATATAGAATATGTTTAAATAATATTTTTATAAGGATTGTTAGAAAAGAAAAACAAAATAGTTTCTTTTATAAATTTGAATTAATTTATGTATAAATTAAAATAAAAATTTTAAAAACTACTTCTAATAATTTTATACGTAAACTAAATTTAATTTTGGATTATTCCTTTTGTGATACTTTTTGGTAACTAGTGCGATAGGTTAACTTTGTAGAGATTATATCCCTCTAAGGTCCTAGTAATAAGTTTGAATAAAAAAATTAAAACATACAAAATAAAACCAAATTGATGGCTGCAGTGGATATAATAGCTTTGTAGTTACCATTATTTGTTATAAAATATATATATATATATATATATATATATATATATAATTTAAGAAAAATATATTGTTTATGTATTTTTTTAGGGACTAATTTTGATACTAATGTAATTACAGGGATAAAATATTTTTAGGATTAATAGATGACCATTCAAATAAGGATAAATATAAAAAAGATTATGGTTACAAGAGAAATAAAATATTATATGGTATATTTAGAAGAAATTGAGTTGTAAGATATATAAAACACAACAAGCGATATCGATGACACTGGTCATGATATGTAAAAGTTAGTACGATAGAAACAAAATCATAACGTTGATAACAACACGCAGAACTCCAACAAAATAGTTGAGAGCCAAAATTTCAAAACAATTATATTAGCATAAGATTTATTAATATTTTCTAATTAATTCTAATTTTGTAAAAATTTCAATATGTTTTTTTTTATCTTGTAATTTTACCAATTTTAATTTTCTATCCAAATAAACTTTTATGCTTGTGTAGTTTTTAAATGTTTTTTTTATTCTTTTAAATGCTCTTTTTGTTAAAAAACATAATAAAAAAATAAAGATAAATGATAACATATTATGAAAATTTACTTAATTAAGATATGTTTTAAACCATGAAAAATTGTTTGTCACTTTGAATTTTTGAAAACCTTCTTTCATTGCCATTACCATAATTATTATAGTCATTGGTGCTTTATATTCGTTATTATAAGTGTTAACTTTATCATAAGTATTACTTTCATTCTCATTTTCAAGTATGAAAGAATTTTATTACGAAAGATTCATCATCGTCACTTTTTTCCTAATTTTAAGATGATGATAACTAAAGAGTAAACCATTCATAAGAGCTACAAAATTCGTGACCAACATAAATATTATGATTTATCCTCTTGTTGTCTTCCATTTTTGAAATAACAAAAGTTTCACTATTATTTGTCTTCCATTTTTGAAAAAACGAAAATTTTTCGTCTTTTAAAATATTTTATTTTTATGAATATTTATATTTGTTTTAGTATTTTTCTTTTTTCTATATATATTATTTGAAGTAATAATTTATTTTTATAATATCAAACCGAGTATATAATAACAAAATTACTTCTTGAATAATATTATATTTTTTAAGTCATTTAATTATCTATTATCCTATTAACATCTTAAGTTACATATATTTTATTTTTTTCTTTTATAATTATATCTTATTTTAATAATTTTAAATAAGAACTAATTATTAGATAATTATTCGTCACTTACATTATAATTATTTTAAGAAGAATAAATTATTTTTATGATAGATATTATAATAAGAAAAAAATTATTATAATTTCAATCGAAATTATTACATCTTTAATTTATTTATTTTTATTATAATCTACTAATAATTAATGTAAATATCACATTAAATATGTTTTATTTAATTTATAATCTGTAAAGTTTTTAGACTCGTGTTATTAAATTATAAATATTTTTATATATTTAAAAAACAAATATTTGATTATAAATATTTGTTTATCTTTCCTCCAATTTCACTTATGATGGTTTGTATTTCTTTTTACTTGTAATATAATAAATTGTTATAATGAATATTTCTTTACAAAATTAAATTTAGTTATTTAATTATTTATTTCACAAAATATGATTTTTATTTTAGTTTTAAATAAAATATTCATTTTATTTTTTTCAGATTAAAATTATTAAATGTATACAAATTTGGTTAAATCAGGATATGAAATTGTTGTTCTCTATGTATATCACTTTACAGATTTAAATAAAATTATTAGCCCTTGAAAAGATACGCAAGTAACATGAAATTAATGTAACGTGTTATATTTGTTGACAAAAGTTGTTTGATTAAGTATGTTAAAAAAAAAGTTGTTAAATGTGTACAAATTTGAATAAATCATTATTATAGATATAATACTTTGTGTATCATATGGAAACATTTGATTCCACGAGAAGGGCTACAAGTCTAAAAAACGTGGTTAGTCTTCTTGAAGGGATAAGAGAGTGATACATGATGAAACTAATGTAATGTCTTGTATTGTGCATTAAAATGTTTGGTTGAATATATGGAAAAAAAAAGGTTAAATATGTATAAATTTGATTAAATCATTACGTGAGACATAAAGCTTTCGGTATCACATGATAACAATTATTCCCCATCTATAGGGTTGTTACAAGTCCCAAAAACATAATTATTCTTTGAAAGGACACGAGAGTAACGTATGGAACTAGTGTAATGTTTTATTTGAAAAAAAAAATTAGTTATGTGAGTGAAAATCATTATCATAGGACAATATTTTGCATATCATATGACAATAGTTGTTCCTTCCAACAAATCCCAAAAACATAAATAGGTTGAAGAGACAAGTTGGTATAAAAGAAATTGGTTCAATGTGTTGTATTTGTGGATCTAAATATTTTAGTTAAATACATTCAAAAAGTAGTTAAAGATATTGTTAAGGCACAATATATATTTTATCTATCACATGACAATAATTGTTCATCGTGAATAGGGTTATTAGGAGTCTCAAGGAACTAGGCTTCAAAGGCCAAGAGGGTGACACATTGAATTGGTGCAATGTGTTTTATTATAGATTAATATATTTTAGCTAATTATGTTCAAAAAAGTGATTAAGTGTGTAAATATTTGGTTAAATCATTGTGTAAGTGATGAGTTCCTAGATGTCTCAGAGATTGGAGAGGTTATCCCTTGAAGGATCATTAGGAGCATGACTAAAAGGGAGACATTTTTCTCATCCTCCACTTTGAATTTTCTTAGCATTTATTTTCTTCAATTTTAGAAACTCATTTTCGTATTTTTTGTAGGACCGCTTTATACACCTCCTTTTTTAAGACACCATCTCTTTTTGGTGGAAAAGAAGGCTTAGACATATAAGATGGTTGCATGGGCAGCCCAAAGGTGTAGAACACTCATTTTTCATGTCCTACACCCCTTTTTGGAGAGGAAGAAGCTTAGGATGCGGGATTGGTAGGTTTGGGACAACCCAAAAGGAAACACATCTCTTTTTTTATGTTCTCCACACCTTTAGAGGTATTTTTGGTGGGTTAGAACAAATTTAACATATTTGGACCATGGGGACTCTAGCCTCTAGGTTTAGGTTTAGGTTAAGTGTATGTCTCATTTTGTAATTCCATCTAGGTCCCTCTCACAAAAGCCTATAAATAGAAGGTTTCCCCTCATGTAATTAGGTTGAATATTTATGAAGTTTGTGAGGTTTCTTAGAGTGTTACATCTCTTTGAGTGTCTTATCTTGAATCTTGGTTCAAGTGGCAGCAACCACCACTTATCTAGGGTGGTCCATCCCCTAGTGGTGTGCCAACACTCCACCACCACCATACTTCTTTTCTCTTCATCTTTTCTTCTTTATTTCTTCACTCCATTTATTTATCCAAGGAGTTGGTCCATTTTTCCAGCCCTTGTCATTATTCTTTTCTAGTTCCATTCCATTTCTTCCTCCCTCCATAATCCTTGGAAATGAATATTCACATATAGATAGACAACTATCTTAATGTCTAGTGGGAATTTTCCTTGGATTTACTTACTTTATTGCTTAAAATTCTACAACTTATCTTCTTAAAATTCTGCACCTTACTTTATTTTACATCATTTGGTATTCAGAGTTTAGGTTATTACTAGTAAGGTATTTTTGTTATTGTTTTAACTTCATTCCTTGTGTAGCTTGTGTTTTGTGGTCTAACTTGTGGTTTTTTGTGGTCATTTGGATTAAGGTGTTGAACTAAAAAGTTTGGGCGTGAGGTTAGTCCAATACTACACTCACTTAAGTTTCTTTTTAAGGCATGTATGATGTTTGATAAAATGCCTAGCCAAAATAAAAAATTTGCACTTGATTAAGTTACATATTCTTCTAAGTTTAGTGTCTTTCTAAATGTGCCTAGCCTTTGCTTTTGAGTTATATGTCTAGTATCTCTTGTTGAAGTTTTCTTTTATTGGTTTCCAATACTTAAAATTGCATGATGAATTGATCTAGGATCCTAAACATAGGGACTAAGTGATCAAATTTTATCTAGCACCTTTAAACAAATTTTGGCAAGTTTAGAATCAAGTTAGAACAACAAAACCAAAATTTATACAAAAGTACCTTGGCCAAAACATTATTGCTTAAAAAAAAAAAAATTGCACTTATGAGATTTGATTCTAAAAATTGTCATAATACTTGGTTGCATGAATAAATTTTGGCAAATTAGTTCTAACATTGTAGGAACCTTAGTCTTCTTTATGT